GGTTTGTTACAATCCTTGCCTATTGCCGAGTGGAAGTGGGAGCATGTCACTATGGACTTCGTTGTAGGTCTTCTGAGGACTCAATGGGGTAGTGATGCTATTTGGGTGGTTGTAGACCGGTTGACTAAGTCGGCGCACTTTATCCCTATGCGCGTGAGAGATTCGGTAGATCATCTTGCCGATTTGTATATTCGGGACATAGTGAGGTTGCACGGGGTCCCAGTGTCGATCGTCTTAGATAGAGACCCTCGTTTTACTGCCAGGCTGTGGCAGAGTTTGCAGAGTGCCTTGGGCACTAAGTTGACCTTTAGTACGGCTTATCATCCTTAGACTGACGGGCAGTCCGAGCGTACTATTCAGATCCTTGAGGATATGCTCCGAGGTTATGTTCTTGACTTTAGTGGGATGTGGGAGAGACACTTGCCCTTGGTGGAGTTTGCCTACAACAACAGTTTTCAGTCGAGTATCGGTATGGCACCGTTTGAGGCCTTGTATGGCCGACCGTGTAGGTCTCCAGTTTGGTGGGCCGAGGTGGGTGATGCACCTTTGATGGGCCAGGAGTTGGTGAGGGAAACGACAGAGAAAGTTGAGCTTATTTGTAGGAGGCTTGTTACAGTCCAGAGTCGCCAAAAGAGTTATGCCGACCGTAGGAGGAGGCCTTTGGTTTTTGAGGTGGGTGATCATGTTTTTCTGAAAATATCACCTAGGCAAGGTTTGATGAGGTTTGGGAAGAGTGGGAAGTTATCCCCTCGGTTTATCGGTCCCTTTGAGATCCTTGAGAGGATTGGGGAGGTTGCTTATCGTTTGGCTTTGCCACCGCAGTTGTCCGGGGTACATGACGTATTTCACGTTAGTATGCTTTGGAAGTACGAGCCGGATCCATCGCACGTGTTGGATTGGACCGACTTAGAGGTAGATGAGGATGCCTCGTATGAGGAGAGACCGGTTCGGGTCTTGGATAGGCGGGATCAAGTCTTGCAAGACAAGACCATTCCTTTGGTAAAGGTTTTGTGGAAGCATCACGGAGTGGAGGAAGCCACTTGGGAACGTGAGTTGGAAGTCCGTGAAAAATATCCGGACATGTTTGTTGATGTGTAATCATGCATTGGGGATTTTGTAATATTGATGAACTTTAAGAGCATTATATATGTCTTAAGTTGTAAAACATTGTATATGTTTGGGTTGTAGAAGTACATTTTGGAACTTGCCTTATAATGGAAGTTAATTTTAACATTGTATATGTTAATGATGTTTAGAAATGCAAATATATTGTTGGCATTAAAAATGTTTTGTGATGCATGTTGATAATGCATGTTGGAAAGTATGTAGAAATTTGCCTCTTGAATAAGAGATGGGATGACCGGTAATGGGTCAAGTTGTTTAATTTTGCATTGTAAAATGTGGTAATTGAGAAAACATGTTTTTGAAAAACTTGTACTTAATTTCGGGGACGAAATTCTTTAAGAGGGGGGAGGTTATAGCGATCCCGATTTCCCTTTCTTTGATTGTTGTATTCCGGATTCGGTTCCGTAGAGTTAGTGGTTGTGTATGTCTTGTTGTTATCCTTTAATTCCATATATATGAGTTTTAGGATGCGTGGGGCATGGTTGTTACAGGATGGTTGAGCTTTGGTTTCCTTTCTTGTTGCCCAGTTTTCAGGTGGTCCGCTCGAGCGGGCCTTACTGCGCTCGAGCGGGGTTCACACACTCCCAGTATTTCGTGCCTCTGCAAAACTTCTACAGGTGTGTTTTTCACACTCGAGCGGATTTTCTTACCCTCGAGCGGGTCGCGCTCGAGCGGGATTATTGGCGTTCGAGCGGGTAGTCTTTTTTTTGTAAAAGTTTTGGAAGGGCGTAATCTACGCTCGAGCGGACTGGTTTTCGGGCTCGGGCGGATGTGTTTTGTTTTTGTGTCTTGGCGCTCGAGCGGGCCTTCTTGCGCTCGAGCGGGTCCAATTTTTGTGCTTGACGCTCGAGCGTCCTGTTCTCCGCTCGAGCGGGAATGTCGTATATCAGTTGACAGCTAGGCTATTTTGAATCACTTTTTACATCCTCACTCTCTCTCTTACTTTTCTAAAACCCATTTTGAGAGCTCCTCTCTCTAGAATCTCCCTTCTCTCTAGGGTTTGATCTAGCTAGAGTGTTTCACTCCATTGTTGTCTTTATAAAAGGTGTGTTGATCGTTGAGGGCTACGTTTTGATCCGAGAATCTTGGGATTTGGAGCATTTCGAGTTTTCTTCATCTTCTCCATTTGAGCTTCGAATTTAAGGTAGGGATAACTACTCATTCTTATGGTCTTTGACTTAAATGGTTGGTCATTTTGATAAAGTGTGGGAGTTGGGAAATTTTGGGACTTAGGGTTTCAAAATGTACAAAGGGGGTTTTATTATTTTGGCTCTTAAATATGTATTTTGGGTCTCAAAATAATGGTATTGCTATTGGATGTTGATATTTGAACCTTTGAGTTAATATTGAGAAATGGAGGTAAAAGCCCCAATTTGTGCATAAATTAATTGGTATAATTAATTTGAAAAAAAATTATGGGTTTATGAAATTGGGTTGAACATAATGAAATTGGCTCATTATGAGATGGAACGGTGGAGTAGATTTTATTATCTCTCACTTTTGAAAATATTGATTATATATCTGTTAAGGCATCTATTATCTGTTTAGAAATAATTGTTTTGGGCTACCGGTGGAGGGTAGTCTTGATTGTTGTAGACAATGCATGATGATTAGGCAAACCAAAACTAATTGATTGAATGTGTCATCGAATATGACGGTTGGAATAATACATTAACATTTTGTATTGATTGATTGTGTGTATGATCTGTGTTTATATACATTGTGTTGTGTGGGAGGAGATAGGGGATGTACTCCACGGTTTAGGGGAAGTTAGGGAATGGACGTCTAAACCGGAGATTGTTTGGGAGGAGATAGGGGATGGACTCCGTTGATACAGCTAATATGCTTATCTATTGAAGTGTTGATACAGCTCATATGCTTATCTATTGAAGTATTGATATAGCTAATATGCTTATCTATTGCGAAGTATAAAGTGTTTAATATGAGTGCGACCTCATTTGAAATGGAAGTATTGTTGATATGAGTGTTATCACATTTAAATTGTTTAGCCAGGTTCTGAGGCGTAATTATGAAATGAGAATTGGATAAGAAAAGGAAAATGGAATGAACATGGACATCTTTGTCATGTAGTTGAAATGGTTATGAAAATGATTTCTGTGAGCTAAACATTTATCAATTGCTAACATTTTAGTTATTGTTCATATTATGTTTAGCATATCTCTACTAGGCGTTGGCTCACCCTATATGGGACATCATTTTCAAGTTCAGGTATCATGCCGCCTCCGAGATCATAGCTTGGATGGTTAGGGGAGTTGAAGACTCTTTTTGGTTGTTTTGTCTGTATTACGTGTATATCAAGCCAAGGGCTTATTGTGTATAGAGTTAGTACTCTTTTTTTTGTAACCAAGTGTTGACTTGGAAAGCTGTAAGCCCGTAGGGTATTTGTTTTTGTTGTTAACATGTAATACATTTGTGAGGAATACTCTGATGAAATATAATTACGCTTTATTCTCTTATTTCTAAGCATGTTAATATTGTGTGATTTGTGGGTTTATTTTGAGGGCGTTACATTCTCACTCTCTTCTCTAATTGTTATATAAAAGATAATAATAATAAAAAAATTAAACAAACTCTACAATATGAACGGTTCAGATTATCAAAAAATACTCAAAAAAGGCCTCTGCCGGAGCATCATAGGATGCTGCTGTGATTTGCTCACAGCAGCATCCCCGAGTCCAAACTCACATGCCTATCTTTGTATCACATAAATTTAAATTAAAAAAAAAAAAAACTCACAAATTCCACAACTCTTATATATAAAAAATAAAAAATCGGATAATATCTTTAATTGGAGTTGTGGGTGTCAATCTAAAATATCAATCCAAAATTTTGGAATTTTTTCATTTGAAAAAAAAAATTAAAAAATGCCATACTCAATTTTTATTGGATCATACTTCATTTTACACACATACACACAAAAGATGAAAAAGGTAAAAAATAATAAATAAACAACTAGATAAGTGTTAGCATTTATCAGATAAATGTTTGCTTTTAAAAAAAATAAAATAATTGATTTGTATTTAAAAAATATGTGATATCAAAATTTTAAATTTAAATTTTCTATGATATCTTTAGCTCCTTATCTCTATCCAAAAATTAAATTTGAATTTAAACACTAAACTTCCAAAATACATTATTCATTAAATTAAGTTTTTATATAAATTTGAACATCCACCAACAAAACCCAACATTATAAACAAAAATTTCTTTAAGTTATTAATATTTTAATCATAACTATTTATTAAACTTAAAAAAAAAGAGCATTAAAAATACTTATCTTATTCTACTACAAATAAAAATAAAAAATAAAAACACCTAATTTTTTTTAGATAAATTAATTAGCATATGTGATCATGATCAATTAGGTCAAATATTTGACTATATCACAATCATTACTATTTGATTATAAAAAATGTAATAAATATAAAAAAAATTAAAAAAATTTCAGACTATTTACCATGAAAGAGGATAATATATTAAATTTTAACTAAATAATAAAAGACTAATTACCTGATATATTATTCACCCAAAAAAATTTACTTTTATTAAATAAATAAAAATTTGCCTCATAATGTAAGTAACTAATTACCTGATATATTATTCACCCAAAAAACTAAGAGAAAAGTTAGGGATCATGAAAATTTTCTTATGAAAATGATCATGAAAGAGTTATGATCCTTGGATTACCTTGATTAGTGTGTGGTGCTTTATTCAAAGTGTAATCCAAGGGTCACAAAGCTTTCATGATTATTTTCATGAAAGTTTTTCATGACACCTAGCATTGCTGAAAAACTAATTACCAGATATATATATATATATATATATATGTTAAATGTGGTAAAATAGAGAAGTACCTTAGGTGGCTTTGAAATGATATGGGTTTGCACAAACTGATTCAAGTCCGTCCCCTTTAGCGGTATCACGGATTCATCATCCAATTCGACTTCCTTCAGTTTTGGTGTGCTGCCGGAAGTAGTGGCAGCGAAAGTCTTCATTTTGGGGCAGTTTATCACTTGAAGTCGTTCCAAGGATGGCCATTCAAAAGGAAAGTCGTCTCCTCCTGTGCAGAAACCACTTAGGTTTGGAAGATCTCTAAGGTAGAGTTTTTTGAGACTTTTGAACACCATCTTGTAGTCCACTCTCTCTTCTTCTTCTTGTTGCCCTTCGTTTTGCTTCGCAGCAACAATTTCCTCCATTTCTTCACACACATATACAGAAAGCTCTTCAAGTTGATGAAGAGCTTGAGCTATGGAAGGTTGGAAGACATATTTGAGTTTGCCACATGAAATAACATTCATTGTTCTTAGGTTGCAGAGTTGCACATGTTGACGTCTGGAGCAGCTCAATATATGCTTCAATCTCGGCAACTCGCTTAGCCATAATTTTGTCAAACTAGAAGGCAGCTTCATGCCTTCTCCTTTAGAACCAAAATCAAATACTTGTTCCAATTTCACGCAATTTATTACGGAAAGCTCCTCCAAATGTTGTAGCCTTTGAAGCAAATTGAATGGAAGAAGAACAGCTGATAGTTCAGGACATGCGTTAACTTCCAATCTCCTGAGCTTTGGGAAACACACCCAGCTGGAAGTAGTAACTGCACTTGCTGCACATATCTCTTTGTAAGTATCCAAACCATAGAGTTCCAATTCTTCCAGGTTAAAGAGCAATTGCAGATCACATGGTTGTGCCTGTGATGAAATCCCCCATTCCTCTGTGTTGATCAAGCATTCCAATTCATGACATTTTACAATCCTCAGATGTCTAGCTCTCTTCAACACCATCTTTAGCCATTTACTCCAATCAACCAAGGATCCAACCAAATTTCGAACTGCCAAATAATTTGGGAAAATAAATTCAACCCCCCCTCCCAAGAAAAAACAATGTTCCCAAAACAATAAAAAAACTTTCCAGCTCAGGAAAGACAAAGTCCTTGGGTATATGCGCAATGTCAAGTATGGAAATGGTTAGCACTTTTAGGCGAGGCCAAGATCTTAGTGCAGCAGCTACTTCAACTGCAGGGTCAGGGTCTCCGATACTCGAAGATGTGATGCCAAACAAGTACAACTCCTCCAAATGGGATAAAGGCGATACCATTGCGGCCGGAATCAGAAATTCATGATGGCTTTCAATCATGTCCAACAACCTTAGATTAGTTAACTCCCTTATAGCATTTGGTGCCTTAGAAAAGAAGGCACGCTTGAGGCTAAGGACTTCAAGCGTCTTTACTGTTCGAGAAATTTAGTGTCCTCAAACTCAATTCCATCAAGAACTAATGTTTGAAGACACAATGGGTTATTGAAAGCATCAGGACTTTGAATTGGATTGTCAAACTTATAGTAACCTTGTTGGCTCAAATCTAAAACTCTAAGTGCATTCATCCTTGAAAAGAATTCATGTGAACATGACCATTCATTTTCATTGTATTGAAATAGTAATATTTGGAGCTTTGGACATTCCAAGACCTCAAGAAGGTTGCTGATTTGATTTCTCATCAACGATATGCCAGTGTATTGATCCAAACTATCCATATTTGGCCAATCTTTCAAATTGCAACCAGCTCATACAAAATACTTTTTGGATCCAATATCTATGGCAACATCACGTATAACATCATGCATTTTGATGCAATCTTGTTAATCACTAGCTAATAACAAACAGGAAGCTACGAGATTTTTGATCACTAACTTTGCTCTACCCCTGGCTTCATGCACTGTATCAACTTTTTTGAATACCCTCAACCCCATCCCATATTGCACCAAGTCTTCTATTAAGATGTTATGATCCTCGGGAAATAGAGAACAAAGCAAGAAGCAAGCCTTGGCTTCCTCATCTTGCAGGTAGTCATAGCTCAACTTAAGACTTTTGTACACATGTTGATTGACACCTTCAATGTTTGTTGGCACTGATTTTCTCAATTCTCGAGCTGCCTCATCCCATAAAGAGGGTCATCTTTATCCTTCATTGCACTTCCAATCGTAACAAGTGCTATTGGCAGGCCTCCACATTCTTTACAAACCTCATTAGCGGTGACAGTCAACACGTTAAAGTCAACAACATGGCCAACATTCTTTTTGAACAAGTCCCATGAATCTTTTTAAGATAAAACGCCGAGATGAACAATCTTTGTCCTCGCCTTTCCATTCCCATGGAATTGCATACTAGCTCACGCCATGTTGTGATTATGATTTTGCAACCTTGGTGATCATTGCCAAATGGAATGCCCATGGCTACCAAATTAAGTTTGGCCCAAACATCATCCAATATAACAAGGATCTTCTTCACATCCTTCAATCTTGCATACAACATGCTTGCTCTTTCAATTTCACTTTGTTGATCAGTTAATCCTTTGAAACCTAACATGCTAGCTATTTGACCTTGAATGTTTTTGATGTTTGGGTTCTGAGATACTATAGCCATCATAACATCATCAAAAACCTTATCAGATTTTGCTTGTTTACCAATTTCTTTTACCAAAGTTGTCTTTCCAACGCCCCCACTACCATGTATTCCAATGAAGTTGATATTGTCATCACTTAGTGCCTCCATTACATTCGTCATTGCCAAATTTCTAGAAGCATAAGGCACAAGCTGTTCAGAGGGTATGAACTCTATCCCCAAGAGAGGTGAGATTTGGATATGTTGTTGTTGAATGTGCCTTCTTTTCCCAACTCTTTAGCCTCCTCTGCTTTATTTTTTGCTGCCTTACCTAGCCGGCGTCGTGTGACCAAATCAGGAAACCACCCATTGAAACATTTCTGGTTCACATTGGTTGCACCTTCTAGAAACTCTTTAGCCTCACGAATGAACCTATTAACTTTGTCAATCCAATTCTTGACACTTTCTAGAATTTCTTCTCTTTTCCTTTTTGTTGCATCGATGGAGTCGAGCACATCTCTTTTCTGAGCCTCTAAATTTTGAACTTGCTCTTGTAGATCTTCAGTATATTTCACTCAATCCACCAATAATTCAACAACTTTTCCTCCAATGGAAATCAGAGCATCACAGGCAGCCATAGCCATGTCTGATAATAAACAAAGCAATACTTCAAAAAAATAAAATAAAAAAATAATATTGTACTATTGGCAACAATAACTATCTACATGCTTGTTGATAAAATAAATAAATAAATGGGAAGTTGCGAGCCAGTCCTTTATTTATCAAAAAAAAAAAAAAAAAAAAAAGTCCGACTCTAATTTTCTCTATAAAAATATTTATAAAAATATATATATAATTTAACTATTTATACATTGCACATCATATTTCAATACCAATAACTCAAATAAATTAAAATTAAATCAAAACTCACAAATAAAAGCTCAAATAATTTTGGTTATGACTTGGTTATCACTCATTGTAATGTTAGTTGTGATTATTTTTTTGGTTATGACCAAAAAGGTCTTTGGTTATTATAATTTATTGAGTTTTTTTTAGTTATGACTAATACAAAAATCATAACTTGTATATGGTGCACGCCAAAGAAAAATGTGTATTGTAGAATAACCCTACTTTTTATAATAAATTTATAAGTAGATACATATTGATATACACAAACATAATTCAAATGAAATTATAAAGTATGATTTTCAAAATATATACTTATATTTTATAATGTGTATTGCATGGGTTAACTGCTACTAACATATCATAAAGTTTATGGGTGAGACAATTTTGACCCATCTTGACAAACGAGACTTGCTCTCACCACATTATTCTTTTTTTAAAAGAGAAAGTGGAGACAAAAGAGAATTTAGAAATAAAAAATATTATATACTTCAAATAATTTATTAAATTTTTTATTAAACTTTTTATATAAATATAAGACTTAAACAAATTCATGTGTATGGATTTCACACTTATATAAAAAATTTAATAAATTATTTGAGATTCCTAATCTAACACTTTTCAAATTTGAAAAGGAAGAAAAGAAGAGATCAGGCTTGAGGAGAGAGAAGAAGACAAAGGAAGGAGAGAGAGAGAGAGGAAGGATGAGGAGAGGAGAGGAGAGGAGAGGAGAGAGATGACTTAATCACATCATTATTTAATATTCTTTCTCATTGACCGATGCATACACCAACTATATAACATAATCAATATCGAACAAGTTGGGCCTATTTTGAAAAGATAATTAAAAGTTATCTTTTAATTTTTAATCTATTTTAGATCATATTATTTATTTTTATTTTTTATATATGTTTTTACAAAAAAAATTAAAAAATTAACTTTTAATCAACTTTTCAAAATAACTCTTAATTACACCACCCCCATTATCTCTCTTCTCTCTCATTCTCACTTGTCAATATTTCAAATTGCGTAGTGAAACTTAAACCACTTTTTTTATCACTATTTTTTTTTAACACAACCTAATTTAAATTTTGAATTCAAATTTATGAAAAGAAAAAAAAATTCAAACCACCATTTTTTAACAGAACCAATTTTTTTTTTGAATAATGTTACGTTTCTTAATAAATATAAACATAAACATTTTTAATGATATTAGGTCTCTGAATAACCAAAGCTACTTGATTTTTTATATTTTTTTAATAAACATTTCCAAATAGTAGGTGTTAGGACCCTTTGTAGTCAAATTCCATGGATCAAAACCGAGGTTGTAACAGGATCTAATTTTCCAGATTTTCCAATTTTGGCCTCCCCGCTCGAGCGGGGAAAGTGACGCTCGAGCGGGGATTGCAAGCTCACAGCATCTCTGCTTCGTCTGAAAAAGTACTAGATGGTGTGATTCGATGCTCGAGCGTGGAAACTTCCGCTCGAGTGTGAAGCCTATATGAATCACACAATTTTGAAGCCTCCGCTCGAGCGGGAATTGCCATGCTCGAGCGGACCGCGCAAACACAGTTTCTATAAATTCGCGTGTCGGGTCTTTTTCTAGGATTACTTTTTCTAGATCTTATTCAAGAGTCCTAGGGTTTTGTTTGAAGTTTTCTTCTGAGTTTTTTGAGAGTTTTCCTTGATGTTTTTTGAGAGAGTTCTAAACTTATGATTTGAGATTCATACATCAAGGAGTTTGTTACTTTATATCCAAGAGAGTTCTCTTCGGTGGATTCCGAAGATTCAAACGTAGAGTTTCAAAAGGCGTTTGATTCTGTACGTAGTCGTTAATTCGACAAGTGAAGTTGTGGATTCAACTTCAGGATTGATCAGTTCCGAGACGAAGGCGTGGTGAAAGAGTTACAGAAGATTCGAAGACAAATTGACTGAGTTGGGTAATTTGTGTATTATCTTTGTAATCTTTCTTTCTTCAGTAGTGGATTGATTAGTGGCGGTTCGCCCGTGGGTTTTGATTATAATTGAAGGTTCTTCAATTGTGTTTTTTTCACGTAAAAATCGTTTGTGTCGATTTATTGTTTATTTCGAAAAACAAACAATCTAAATCACTTTCGTAAGTGCTTGTTGATTTACATTGTGTGTTTTGGATTATTGGGATTTGGAATATTTTAATCTTGATCTAATCACGAATCACTTAGGATTTTTAGTACGCAATGAACAATTATTTAAATAGATTAATTTGTACCCAATCCAATCCTATATAAAAATAAATTATCAATTTAATATAAAAGAAACACCTTTTTTAATTAAAATATGTGAAAATAAATTTATATTATAAAATTTTGAGATATTATACAATATATTTTATCTTAATTTATGAGGTGAGATTGAGTGAGAATACTTAGGAAAGGAAAGCAGACCCACGTGGGTTGCCCCTCACTCCCTTTGCCTACTTTTTCATTTCTTCTTCTACTTCTTTTTGCTTTTGTTCTTTTTAGAGTAGAGAGCTTTGTCTCTTTTTTTCCTCTACGACTCTCTCTTCCTCTTTGAACTCCATTGTTGCTCAAGTTTGAGCTTCGAATGGGAGTCATAACTTAGTTAATGAAAATTCATTAACCCTGAACATTCATTAAAACATATTAAAAATCACAAACCCAAACCCAAATCTTAGAAACACAAATCCAAACACATACCTAATCAACAGAAATAAAAAATCACACAAACCCAACACAATGAAACCTTTCACAAATCAAAACACATTCAAAAATGAAACCCATTTCAAAACCATAAAACACTACAAAAAAATTAAGGTTTTAAAGACCAAAAATTAGGAACAAAATTATTTTTTAGGGACCAAATAATTTTGTTGCGAAAAGTATCGTTATTATATTTTTAGCAACAAAAATTGGATATTAGTGATGAATTATTATCCTTTTGGGACCAAATTTTTTGTCTCAAAAAATAAATCATTTTGTGACCAAATTATTTTGTCCCTAAAAGTCTATTTATTAGTGACATTTTCAAAATTTTGTTGCTAAAAGCCTTATTTTTTACTTTTCGGGACGACCTTTTAGTGACTATCCTCATGACGATAGAAATTAGTCCCTAAATGTCTTTTGCAACAAAATTTTCACTTTTAAAGATCAAAACATTTGGTCTCTAAAACTCGTATATGTTGTAGTGAAACCCATTTCAGAAACTCATCAAACTCTCAACGGTGGAGAACAGAGGCACTGTTGCGGGTTAAGATCGAAGAGAAGATCTGAGAACAGAGAGAGATAAGAGATGAAGAGTTGCTATTGGTGGAGATCACAGCGTGGAAGCGTCATGGCAGTGGAGAGCTAATGTAGGTGGTAGAGATGTTGCTTTCGGCGGCGGTAGAAGAGGGAGAAGGAGAGGACATAAAGAGGGAGAAAGGGTTTTGTTGACAGCGTGCTCTTGGCTGAGAGCGACGGTGCCGAGAGGAGAGGTAGAGGACAAAGTGATGAGAGGTAGGGGGAGAGAGAGAGTAGTGGAATGATAAATGATGAGAGAAGAGAGGAGAGATAGGCGGGAAACATATTGTGCGCCAAAAAAATTTGACCATTAACTTTGCATGTAGGATAAAATATAAATAAATTCAAAAAACATTATGTCATATTATATATATAATATATGTATACTCTATGATGGTATGGTCACTCAATCTTCGTAAAGACAATCAAATTCTAGGGACAATTGGTCTATTTTGGCAAGTTAGTAAAAAGTCAATTTTTTTTATTTTTTGGCTTTTTTGGATCATATCACTTCTCTACTTTTTAACATGTTATTTTTAAAAAAAGTTAAAAAATCAAAAAATCAATTTTTAACTAACTTTCCAAAACAACTAAAGCGATTTTGGTCAATTATTTACAAATTAATAGAGAATCATAATTGCAAAAGCATGGAATCTGTGGTTGTAATTACTAGAATGCTTTTTTTCTCTTTTTCTTCTCTCTACCACTATTTGCAACTATTGGCCAACCCTTCCTTACCCCTCTCTAGTTGTCAATCACCCTTTCACCTGCCCCCAACACCTCTATCACCACCCTCTAGAGCTCCCTACCCTCAACTCCTTTGCCCACCTATAGGGTCTCGGATCTTAAACTCGACTTGTTTATATTAATTGGTACCCGTTACCTTATACTTGTATTATTTTTGAACTTTTAGAATTGATGGGTTTGCATTTGATCTTTTTGTTATTATAATATGGACCTCTTTCTTGATGTTTGGAGTCTTGATTTATAAGTTAACAT